GTGTGCCTTGAGGAATGGCTAAAATGCATGATCTGTTTGGTATTTTGAAAAATAAAAAGTATAAATATGCCTTATATAGGTATGGTCCTACACTATATTATTCAAATAGAGCATGATAGCTCCACTTTAACAGACAATTCTAGTATGAGTGTGTATGTACAAGCTGTTGTGTTGAGAGTAAGTTTATGTAAATAGTTGTATTTAGTTGCCTGAAAAGCACAGGAGGCAGGAACAGTCTGGAAGTTTTCACTGGACTCCCGGCCCTCACCGATTGTCATCATAACTTTGGCTCATGGTTTTAAATTCCCTGGAGCACGTCTGAGCTTTGGAATTGACTTTCAAATGAAGACTACCTATTTCCCACTGTGTACACAATGCATCATGTCTTGACAAGCTCCCCGCCGCTGTCCGTACCCCCCTATCTGTCTCATTCTGCAGAGTTTCGCCGGTCACTGGACGAGCATACCAAAAGAAGTGTGGAGCTCGACTTACAGCTACTACATGTATATATTATCCCCTGCCTGCTACACACTGGGCAATAATTGGGTGCAAACACATGCACACATTGTAATTTACTATCAGCTGTCATGCATGTTTGGTAGGTTATAAGTCTGGAAAATAGCAATACATAATTAAAATATGCTATACATTTTCCTGGAATTATGCATGGAGCCTTAATTCAGAAATACTCTTCCACCACATGGCTATTACTAGTCAGCTTATTCAGACTTATTGCTGATAACTCTCCAATTTACCACTTTCTAATTAAAAGGCAGCTTGATTCAAATATAAATTGAACAAATTCTGAATATGGTCCACTGAGAACACTTTGTTTATTCAGTAGACAGCAGAGATGTACACACTACAGTAGAAGAGTTCATGACTTCTAAACAAGACGGAGAAAAAATATAGTTTCAAAAATCAGAACAACATAAGGCATACTTTAAGATATTTCCTTTCGCAGCCGATGCTTTCCTCAGGCATCTGTTTTGCACATCATGCCGTCTGCAAAGTTTCTCACAACAACATGATTGCTTATAACTTCTAAAACAACAATAAGAAAAACAGTCCTGAACAAAGGAGCGTCATTTTAAAATGTTAAGAAAAGATATCTGCACATATCGGAAATAGTTACAGGTTTTAATCTTCAAACAATAGATAACTCTTTTCCGCTATTTAGTTGCACTTGAACAAATCATTGTCATTCCTTTTATCCTTAAAGCACGACTGTTTAACTAAATCAAAGTGGTGCAGCAACAGATAGAAGCGTCCAATTCACACAATAACAAGCTAAATACATTCACCCTATTTCTAAACACACAAGATTATTTTATGTTGTTTAAAAACAACATTGAGTAGGGATTGTTTTACTTTGCTTCTTCCTCACCCTGTTTCTCATGTTGCAAACCCTCATATGTACCAAGTTGTAACCCCTCCCTGATTATGACTCCTCTAAGGTTAGTAACATAAACATGGTGTGAGCAGTTAGAGGAGACATTATTAAGGAGGCTGTGGCTCAGTGGGTAGTGTGCTGGACTTCGAATCAGGGGATAGCAAATTTGAATCCCACTACAGTCAGTATGTCGTTGTGTCCTTGGGCAAGACACTTCACCCCAAATTGCTCCTGTGGGGATTGCCCACAGTATTGAATGTATGCAAGTCGCTTTGAATAAAAGCATCTAACAAATGACATGTCATTATTTATGGCTTCAACATTGAAAGTATTTCCTGAATCCTAGATGCAAGGCCACCAGTTTCTACATCTGTTAAACCTCTTAAGTTCTAATTAGTTTAATAGTAAACTCTGGGTGTTTCTCAATGTCGAGGAGGCTTCCTTGGTAGAACATGTCCCTCCGAGTCAGTTCCTTCAGAAGCGAGGCAAGAATCCTTCCTTTCATTCGGAGAACGAAGAATGGGACAGGCTAACAGGTGTGCGTCATATGAGAGGCCCCGCCTTACATTTTCCACCAAAGATTTTGGAAATTGGTCCGTGCGCAAAGCATTGTGGGGATTTTAAGACCGCGGAGGATACACATGTGCAGCCTCGAAGTTTCCCGCAACGAAGTACACCGGCCTCGGTAGAATTCCAAGTATCCTGGACATTGGAACAGTCCTTCGGCGGGACTCGATGACGTAGCATCCTTGAAATAGTGGCTCTGGAGCAGCCTTCCTCGACATTGGGAAACTCCCAGTGATGCATTTTGGTTGCACTGCACAGCTGCTGAGTGTGAGTGCAGTACAAACGAATGATCAAGCATAAGTTCACTTTGCTGTTTAATTATGTCACATTACGTGAATAGTGCATCAGACTTCATCATTCTGATATACTGAATATAACATGGATATTATCAATATGGTAAAACACATGCTTTAAATCAAACCAGTAAATATTATTTTTCGTCTGTCTCACCTCCTTAAAGTGCGAGCTACCCATTTATGAAAACCCAATGTCACACCCCGGGCACATTAGCTTATTTTATTTCTCTTCTTATGCTGCCACAAAACAAACAGATATAATAGAAAGATGTAGCGGAAAAGGGTATGAGCCTCCCATGCAGATCATTTGAAAATCAGAGCCTGTTCTGCTTGATAGACAATTTCCTTTATACCTCTATTATTCTGAATAGTGTCCTCAAATGCAATTTTAGCAACGGCGTGGGAAACACATCAAGTGTTAAAATTACATTTAAAGCTTCATTCATCACTTTCCTGTCGCAGCAACTTTTCAGCACTTTAGCAGGTATATCTCCATGTTCCTATTATAAAGTGCAAAGTGTCAAAGGAGAAACGATTTTTTCCATTTGTACACTGTTATGTATCCACTTTGCTGAGCATGCATGCTGGGGCTTTTAAAGTCAGCCAGTTTTGCAGATTCACACCAGGAACAACAACTTACTAAAGCTTTAAAGCCTTGCTTAACAGTTTCCCTGATTATCTTAGCAATGACCAATCTTTGTACAAAAGTATTAGCATCAAACTATACTTAAAGTGGACCTATCATGCTATATTTGAATAATATAGTGTAGGACCATACCTATATAAAAGGCATATTTATACTTTTTATTTTTCAAAATACCAAACAGATCATGCATTTTAGCCATTCCTCATTTCGCTCAATTTAACACTGTCTTTGCATGGGCTGATTCTGTGAGAACAGCACCATCTACAGGCCTGGCATATGTACTACAGCGTCTCCAGCGCTTTCGAACGCCAATGTCCGTGGCTGTCTCCTCCTGATTGGTGGAGTTGGCCCAATAGCCGTAGCGCCACTTCTGTGACGTCATAGAAGTGTTCAAATCTGGATCAGTCTGTATCAGATCCGTTGCAGCCCCTTTTTAAGAGATTTGGGTATGGAGGAAAATAGAGAGGGTTGTGTTTTCTGACACTTGGTGAGTTCCCTCGAACACCGGGGACACATTCATGTACAAAAGAGGTACAAAAGTGCCTTTTGCACGATAGGTCACCATATGTAAGTCAGTATGAAATGTAAAGCTCTATGCTGGATTTACATTTCCGTGTTAAAATATTTAAGATTGACATCACCTTTGTCTACATGTTGTTTTTTTTGTATTGTAAACTTACATTATCCCAGATTTTCAGAGCAATTTTCAAATGTACCGAAATAGATATATGTATGGTCAGCGTTTCCTCTTGTCTCCTGTAATGATATTGTGTCCCAGGGTTTCCTTCATTTACTTTTATCCAGTTTTTAGGTACAATATTAATGTTGTTTGTTTTTTTTGCTTTATTTTAATCAGAAGTATAAGTCAGAGAAACGAGGAAGAGCAAACATTGGCAGTGAACATGAAGGAGGAGGAACAGTTTTAACATTAAACTGCTTTGATCTGTGTTTTAACGTTTTAATCGGAGGTCAGTTTGTACGGGTAAAAGTATGGGTAAATTTCAGGCATTATCGGAACCAAACGGGAAAAGTAAGGGGAAAAGTACGGGGAAAAGTACTTATGGTGTGAACGTTCACACCGGACTACTTTTACCCGTACTTTTTTCCCCGTTTAGTTCCGATAGTGCCTGGACTTTTGCATTCACACCAAAAAGAGTACTTAGTTACGAGAACTTTTACCCCCATTTGTAGTGCCTGCTAGAGAGGTGGTACTATCCTGGGGAGAAAAAAGTACCAATTTCGATTGGCTGGGCGAATTGCAAACCACGCCCCGTAAAAC